TTCTTCTGTTTTTTCTTTTTTGGAGAGATTTTTGCTATAGGGCACGTGCACTAGCTGGAGAGACAGAAAGCAAGAAATCACCCCCTGGGGGGATGTCTCCTCCATTCTCCTCTCAGGATCTTGGGCACACACACATGCACCCAGTGTGAGTTTTAAGTAGCCAGGTCTGGGGACTCGAGCCATGGTCATCTACGCAGGAGTCCAGTGATGTAACCATTACACCATCTGCTGGTCCCTACTTTTCCCCTATTTTTACCAGTTTCCAACCACTCATCCCTTCTCAATACCCAGTTTCTGAGTTTGTAAGACACCTTCTGATATTCTCTGAGTCTCGCATTTTGTTCCGTCTCTAGGAACACACATATATGCACACACACCATAACCATTTTTTTCTCTCCTTTCAATTCTTTAATACATAGACCCTGAATCTGTCCATAATTCAGCTAAAGAAACCAGAGTAGAATGTTTCCCAACTTCCCCTTCTCTGACATTCTGCCTAGAGACCGTTGCAACTCTGATCATCCCAGGACCAAGAGCATATGGGGTATTTGCTCACTCCATAGGTAGGGATCCCCATTCCATATTTGAGGCACTGGCTGGTTATTCAGTTTATGCCAAAAGTGTTCATCCTTGTGGCAGCTCATTTTGCTGTGTCTCTCAGGCTTGTTCTGGGCATTCCAAGACTGGCTTCTGATTTCCCTTCCCTCAGACCTAGCTCTGGGCCACCTGCCACTGCTCTCTGCAACTGCATTCAAGCCAGTGAGCAAATTGACCATGCAGACATGACTCTCCCAGCCCTAGCACTGGCAGGTATCTCTCAACACTTTCTCTCCTGCCTTCATCCAGTATCCCTTAAAATTGGATGAATTTGGGGCTAACAAAATAAATGATTAAACCTACTGTTCCCTCTGTGGTCTTCTCTCTTCCTCCTATTTACCTCTCAGGCTAGATAGGTCTAAATTAACCAAAGAGTCATGAGGCAGGAGTTGCTGAGCTAAGTGTCTGTCTTTCTGTGTGCATGCATGTATGTGTGCGCATTTATGTACCTGTGAACACGTGTGTGAGTGTTTCTGTCTGTAAGTGCATGTATGTCAGGGGTTATGTCTATACTGAAGAAGTGTGAAAGAGACAGAAGCAGAGGCAGGAAGAAACAAAGTGGGACTTTTTGTCTTGGGGGGAAAGAGCCAGAAATTACATCATTCAAAATATCCTGCCTCTCTCTTGGATAAATATAGCATCGTGAGTAGATGTGTCACCAAACGATACTTTCAAAACAAATCCTGGAAGAGACATTTGAAGAGGCTGCCTCTGTAGGCTTGTTCGTATGTCCCCAAGGCCCCCACTCCCTTCCAGAGCTCCCAGACGAGAGTCAGGAGGGAGAGTATGTGAGCCCCTAGTAAGTATAGACAATAGAGAACAACGGTGCTCTTTAAAAAGAGGCTGCCAGCCAGAGTATCCAAATCACCAGAAAGCTCCCTGATAGACAAGAGCCCAAGAAGCCATTTCTCTCTGTTTCAGGTAAGAGCTCAGAACAGGAGCCAGCCCCACTGGGATGTATTTTCCAGGTGTGCTGGTTCAGAGCAAGTAATCGGAGCTAAGAACACATGACTTAGCTCCCAGGGTGGCATTAAAAGCATTGAACCGCCAGTACGGGGCAGGCACCCACCTGCCAGAATGGACATCCCCAGCAGTGACAAGCTAGCCATCACTGTGCAATGTGGCAGCTGAGCACTGGCGCCTTTTAGATTGCCATGCATTCGATTCCTCCAGCAGCCCTGAGGAGTAGGTTTTTGTCATCCCATTTTACAGGTGGAGAGACTGGGGATGGCAGTGAGTCAGTGATTTATCTGGGATCTCATGTTCAGTCATGGCAGAGCTGGGCTTTGTTTCTTCCAAGTGTGGAGGACAGTCCCCCTGCCTCTCAACTACTACCCATGAAGAAGTTAAGAGGTTCTGCTGACACCCCCGTCTAGCCCCTATTAACAGAAGCCTCAGCCAGCGGTGGCTTTTGAAAGGCAGCTGCTGGGTCATAATCCCTGTGTGAATGGTTGCAGAGCCTCTAGAAGTAAACAGGTTTCAGCCATTTTGCAGGTGTAAACATCTCTGCTCCTGATGCAAACTGAGCACCTAACTCCCCACCCCACCAGTGCCTTAAAAGGCAAGGCTATCTGTCCCTCCAGCTCAGCTGCAGGACAGAGACAATTGTCCTACCTGACCAAGCAATATCACCTTCGACATGGGCTCTGATCTCTGAGAAAAGCTTCTTACTATTTGCATTTGTCAGCTCACGTTGCCATAACAGAATTGCACAGACTGAATGGTTTAAACACAGAAATTCATTTCTAGCTTCCACGGTTTTGGAGAACTCCAAGATCAAGGTGCCTAAACAGTTGGTTTTCTGGTCAGAGCTGTATTTCTGGCTTGAGTCAGCTACCTCCTTGCTGGGTCCTCATATGATGGAAGAAGAGTGAGCGAGCAAATTCTCTTTATTTCTTCTAGTAAAGACACTAACCTCATCCAATCAGGACCCTACCAGGACCCTACCCTCGGGACCTCAGTTAACCTGAATTACTTTTCTTTTAAGGCCCTTGTCCAGATACAGACACGTGAGAGTTGGCCTTCAAAATATGAATTTTAGGGCACACAAACATTGAGTCTATAACATCTTTTCAGTCTGGTAAACCTGGGTTCAGCTTCAACCTCTGCCTTTACCCAGCTCTGTGATCTTGGAAAATTTGTCACTCGTATATTAGTTTCTTGTTGCTGCTGAAACAAATTACTACAAACTCAGTGGCATCAGAAACAAATTTATTATAATTCTGGAGGCCGGATATCAAAATTCATCCCATAAATGCTGAATCAAGGTGTCAGCAGAGCTGTGCTCCTTCTTACTCCAGGGAGACTCCACTCTCTAGTCCTTTTGAGCTTCTAGAGGCTGCAGAGGGTCCTTGGTCCATATTCCCCCCTCATTTGGACAACCGTTTTTGTGAACACACCTCTTCTGTGTCTCTGACCCTCCTCCTGCCTTCCTCTTATAAGGACCCTTGTGATCACATCAGGCTCGCCAAGATAGTACAGTATCCTCTCTCCATCTCAAGATCCTTAATCACATCTCCAAAGCTTCTTTGCCATGTAAGGAAACCAAGTTACAGATTTGGAGATGAGAATATGGACATTTTGGGGTGTGCATTAAGAGGAGCATTACTTAGCCTACCACACCTTGGTTTCTTCGTTTATAAAATGGGAATATAATCTAGACCTCACAGTTCTGTTGGGAAGACTTGTCATGCTATCAAATACCCAGCATAGTAGAGGGCATAAAATGAAAGCAAAGTCATGGAAAAGGGTCCCTGCCCTTGTCCCGCTCTGTGCCAAGTTCGTCTGCAATAGCTGAGGTCGGCTCTGGCCTGGCTGTCCGTGGGGATTAAAGGATCCCTGTTGAAAAGAGACAGCAGAGGTGATGAATGGCTCAACCTCCCAAATTCCAAGACAGGGCTGTTTGCAACTCTCAACGCTCTAGGCAGCAGCAGGAGGAATTTGAGCAAAAACGTGGAACAGAATGTTCAGGGACATAAATTCCAAGTTATTTTTGTTGCGAAAGCCAGCAGAAAGTCATTCCATCCTCATTCCCCGTGTCGGAACTGCTCTCTCAGGTTGGCTTCAGCAGAGACCCGTTCCAGTCACCAATCCTCCCTGGAGGTGGAGGCAAGGCCTTCTGTGAGGGGGCAGGCAGGCTGTGCTCTGTGTCCCTGGAGAAGCTGAGGCTCTGAGCAGCAAGTGGGTAGTGGAGGAGCACCGATAGGAAACTTCTGTCCTCTGGGAAGGAAGTCAGGCCACCTAGGAGCTGTGGCCTCGGTGAGGGAGGAAGGGGAAGGGAGGAGCTCAGATTCCCCAGAAAGTATTCTTGATACTCTCTCCACCTTAAAACTCTCACCCAGCACAGTGCAAACTCATTTTAATCCAATACTCTCATTAGCACAACATCTTTCAGCATGCTCCCTAATCCATGCAATATTTACTCGTAATTTGACACAGTTTATTTTACAAATATGCTATATATAGTAAGACTTTTGAAAAAGACAATGGCCTAATGGTTAAGGGAGATGGAGCCCACATGGCCAACCACAATTTGAATCCTGGCTCCACCAGCTTGAAAAACTCACCAGACGTGTGCATGCATGCCCCAAATCCTGACAGGATGGAGAAATGGTAGAAAAGGGATTGCAAAATGACCATGGCCCACTAGGGGGTGCTTCCTCTCTCTCTCTCTCTCTCTCTCTCTCTCTCAAGTGACCACACTTTCTGGCAATTTTTTAAAAAGGAAAAATAAAACACAAACAAACAAAAAAAGCAGATGCTGAGAAGCTGGGAAGAAGATAGCCATGAAGGTTCCAGGGAGGAAAAGTATGTTGTCAGTCCTGTCTCTGTGGCTCTCCTGCTTCTGTGACTCTCCTGTCTCAGAGACCACGTGAAGTGCCCTTCATGTTGCTTTAACACAAGAGGAAGAAGGGGGCCAGAGGGTTGGTAAGGAAGGCAGCTCGAACTGTATGAGGAGAGGCTCTATCAGCCTCTTCCATCTCCAGTACTAAAGGACACGGGCCAGGCCCAGGCCAAACACCAAAACTCTGGAGACCTGGGTAAGCATTGGGTTTTATTCATGGAAGCTGACTTAACACCTATCAGTGCCCCACATAGCTGCCTCCTGAAGCTTCAGGCCTGACAGGGTCTTCGCAAGGCTCTGGTCTGGGGCCCTTACCAGCTTCAGTGGGAGGCCTGCTGCAGGGTCATCCAGCCCTACCACCCCGCAGTGAGACCATGGTCCCCTTCCTACTCCCTGAGGTGGGAACTTGTTGTCTCAGCTTCAGACTTAAGTCCTGGGTCAAGCTGCCAGAGGCAAGACAACTCCAAGCTAATCACACCTGCTCTCAAGAGAGCTCTAAACGCTTTCTTGGGAGCAAAGCTTACAGGCCACGGGGGTGGAGGAGGTGTGAAGATGCTGGGTCCCTGAAGTGGGGGTAGAGACTATCCACAAGGAATAGACCCATAAAGAGGGAGGCAAGCACTCCCTCCCCCCGTCCCCTCCTCCCAGTCTTCCCTGGTGCACAAGGTGGGCTTAGGCCTGGAGAACTTTTGTGCTCTGCTCCACCATCTGCCTTGGGCTTCAGATCCTCCTGGCTGAGGCCTCAGTGTGGGGAGGGTATAGACAGGAACTGGACTTGGGACTTCAGAGTTGGCCTCACTCTAGTGGCTGGCAGGATCTGAAAGAAAAGTAATTTATTGTTGACTCCCAGATTCGCTGAGAACGTGCCTGGTCTGATAGCGTCTGGTGAGGCAGGAGAAGCCTGGGAGGTCCCTGCCAGAGCTGGGTCAGAATGAGCAATTTGTTCTGGATCTTTGATGAATCCCAGAGACCAGACTTGCAGCTGAGACTTGGGAATCTTGTGTAAGAGAAACTTGGAGCAGGGCTCACAATGACCCAGCCCAGCTTGGGAAACATGGCATGGAGGGCCTGTGCTGGTTCACTCAGGGACATGAAGCCCCATTCCCCATGTCCATGAACTAGCTGTGGGTAGTGCTGGGACTGGGAGGGTATCATCAAGGTCAGAGATCTCCTCCCCAACCCCTCCAGGAAGAGGGATGCCTCCAAGATGTCAGAAGACTCCTCACTCTGGCCCAAGAAGAGCCTAAAGACAGGTCTATGGTCTCCTGTCCAGAGACCTGAGAAGATGGCGGGAGCTGCCACATTGCCTAGAGTGTTCACTGAGCCCTCAGGAGCAGGTCAGGGAGGGAAGCTCTCTTCCCATCTGAGACCCTGAGGGTCAGGCCAGAGAAGAGGGACAAAGGCTGCCAGTGTTGGTTCTGTTCCAGATTCACCAGGACCTTCAGGCTCCTGATCTGGGCAAGGAGGAAGTTTAGCTCCACATGCCTTGGGGTCTCCTCCACCTCCAACATTATTGGCTCTGTCTGGGCTCATCCAGGCCCAGTCCTTCTTCCAGCATGAGCCAACCCAGCAAACAGTGGGCCATGGGAGGCGATGGGGCACCACCAGAGGGTCTGAGAGATTGAGCAAAGGGAGTTTCCCTCCTGAGACACAGAAGAACCAGTTGAGCCTTGTTCTCCCCCACACCCACTACAGGCCAGGAGAAAGTACTACTCTCTCCTCCAGCTCAGTCTGATGGCCTCGGTGACATTCTGTGGACAAGCCTGAAAAGAAACCCCAAAAAGGAGGAACAGCAAGCCACTCATCCCAGAATGGCTCTCTCAGGCCTGCCTGCTGCTTCACCCTACGCCTCTGGAGGAGAGTCCTTCTGCTGTATTGTCAGAGTGGGCACTGCTAAGCCTCCAGAGCCTTTTGGGGGGTGAGCTTGCAGGATGTCCAGGACAGGCTAGGTTAAGAATAGCCAGGATGAAAAGGCTGAGACTTTTTTTGCAGCTCCCCTGGGGGAGGTGCAGGTAGAGGGATCCACTGGGGCCAAAAGGTGCTTTGGCTCAAATCCAGAGGGAATTGATGCAGAGGCACCATCTGCTTTACTGGTCCCCAGGACTTGGTGCAGAGAATAAGCACCAAAGGGGACCAGTGGATAGCATAATGGTTATGTCACTGGGCTCCCATGTGGCCAACCGAGGTTCAAGTCCCAGATCCAGCAGCTTGAAGCTCACATCAGTTGAGTGTCTGTGCTCAGTAGATCCCAAGAGGAGAATGGAGGAGAGGAGACTGTGGCATGGCCATCCTCCCGGGGGATGATTTATCTCTTTCTGTCTCTCTGGCAAGTGCCTGCGCCCTATAGCAAAAATCTCTCTATAAAATAATAAATCAAAAAACACCGAAGAGCTTGGCTGAGCCAGATCATGCAACTGTGTCAGGAGAAAATACTAAGAGCAGCCATGTTTTGCCGAAATCATTTGAATGACTAACACGCGCTGTGCTGACGGATTTCCATTAGGAGCTTGAGAGGCCTGCGGATAGAATTCAAGGGTCTGTGAACTTAAATGGAGGGAAAAAAAAGTACCATGTTTTTATTTTCACTCACCTTCCGCCAAAATTCAGTGTTTCCTGATATTATGAATGTAGACGACTATGAGCCAGGACAGCTCTTGGGTACTTTTCACATCACAGTGAGCTTGTTGCAGATATTCTAAATTATTGTTTTAGCTCATCACAGCTTTGGAATTACGGTGGTGCTGAGACCTGTCACTAGATCCTGTTTGACACGTTAACAAAGAAACACCTGCAATACGATATCGCAAATGGAAGGTTTTAAAAAATATTTTGATAACTGTATTTCAGTATAACTGGTCTCCTTTATAAACTGATGCATTCCATTTTATGCATTTAAAATGTAACCGAGAGGAGCATAAGCTTTCTCAGTCTGCCTAAACAAGGAAGGAAAGTTTGCCCCCGTGTGGTGGGGGCAAAACTAGAAGAACCAAGTTGGGCCTGCAAACCTCTGGGGATGCAGGTCCTTTTGTTGAAAAGGAAAGTTTCCCAGGAAGACTGACCCAGCATTTTATAAAGGTGGAGCTGCTACAGTTGACTTTAGGAGTGTAGGTTCCATGGTGCTGCCTTGCTCCTCCACTAACGTCTCCATATGCCCCCCTTCCAGAAAGCTTCACTCTCTTCCTAGGTCTCCACAGAGTGCATTAGAAAATTAGGGACCCAATGCCACCCCTCTCCGGGATCACTTTGGTGGCATAACTTGCCGCACTGCCCTGTCCCTGGGAAGTCAGCAATTCCAGGACCCAAGGCCCACAAGGCTCACTGCTGACTATAGGTAAATCTGGGGTGGGGCTGGGGGATGCTACTTGCAAACTCAGGGTGAGGTTTCTCTACATGCATGAAAAGGACTAGGAGATCAGGGGGTTCCTTGTCTTCACTGGCAGTTTAGGAGTTAAAAGCTTGAGCTCAGAGTGCTCTAGTTTCAATACTGGGTGGATCCACCACTTAATAGCTGTGCAGCATCCAGCCTCAATTTTCATGGGTTGATTAGGAATAACAACAGCCCCCACTGTACAAGGGTGTTTTGAGGATGAGAGGAAAGAATGCATATTTAGAGTATTGCATGACCTGACCGCTCAGTGCTCAGTAAATTGCTGCTGCTACCTGAACCTTTTTTCTGGGGAAAATGTTTGCACCTGCTGCAGCCTCTTCCTTCCACACTCCCCCTTCTCCTCCTTTCCCTCTGAGGTGTCTCCCTGACAGAGGCCACCTCTGATCTCATTTTCACCCTCCAGGCTCAAAACACTTAGTCCTTCCCATCCTTTCCAAACATGTCACTTGGCATTCGAGGGGTGTTTTGGTAGCAGCAGTAGCAGCTTATCCAGACAGCACACACTGTAGCTATTATCTAATCATCTAATAATTAGCTTGACATTTATAAGGGGCCTCGAGGGCCTTGAGATGACTGCTGTTTTCAAATGTGAAGATATTATAATTTTGCACCTGTGCCAGGCAAGATAGGAGCAGAAGGGAAAAGTGACCCAAGCTTTTGTATGCCCTCAACTGACTTAGAGTGTTTTAGCCAAGGCAGATTTACCCAGAAGCTAGCGAGGCATAAGTTTCAGAGTCCCTCAATGGCACAGTTTGTGTTCTCTGCAAAATTTGCAGAAGTAGTGGATGTTTGTATTGGGTTTTCCTAAAGAGGGTCTCTAAAATTGCACAAGTTGTTCTACAAAGCCTAATCCATCTCTGGGTTTAAACCGAAGTTGTCTCTTGGGTCGACCCTATCTGGAAGCCTACCTTTCTCATTGTCAGGAAGGACCAGCAAATGGATTGGAAGGTACAGGCACAGAGGGGCTAAAGAATACATTGTACACAAAAGACAATTGTTTGTTGGATAAGAATGGAGACTGGGACTTCTGGTCATGAGGAGTCAGAATCCCCTGCTCTGCCACCTAGTGGCTGGAAGACTGAATGACATAATTGACTGCAAGGACATAATTGACCTGAGAACTGCAAACTATAAGGGGAAGTCTGAACTGCACAACCCCAGGTTGATGTGAAAAGCAAATGAGCTATCTTTCAATGTGCTGAGATGGCAGGGTTGGTGGTGATTGCAAAAACACACAAAATTTCAACGGATGGATTTGAAAGATAAATTCCCTACCTCAGCCCCTGACAAGTATACATGGTACAAGCGCCATAGTTTGTGTGTGCCTTATTTGATCAAGAAATAAAATGGAGAGACACCAACTCCCTAAGCATCATCAGTAGAAGCACCAGGAATAGAGAAACGAAAGCAGTCATCTATCCTGGCCACCTGGAGCATCACAGTTTTTCAACTCTGAGTCTCAGAGCTTTGGGAGGAGCCCCTGGGACCAGAGGACCAGGGAAAGGATGTGGCTCTGGCCGAGACATGGAGAAGGGGTGAGAAGCAAATGAGAATCTCCTGCAGCAGCAAAGGCCAACGCTGGCATGATTACTACCACGGCCGCACTGAGCTGGGTTCCAGCCCAGGAGCCCTCTGACACCTTCTTATTTTCTTACATCTAATCGGTTGTCAATCCTAAAATTCCCGCCTTTGATATCTTTTGCTTTGTCCCCTTTCCACTCTTCCTACAGGATATGGTCATTCCTGATCTGGAGTGTAGCAGCAGACATCTGAGTCAGGGGTTCTGCATGAATGGACTACAGATGTTCATCTCCTCAGCCCTCTGCAGGGTGTGCCAGGCCCAGGGAGGCTGGAGCGTGTAGACTGGCATTATTTAGCCACAGGAGGTCTCGTTTGTTACTCCTAGTATGCAACCTAAATGTCATCTTTTAAGAAGAAAAAAAAAGTTTTCTTTATTCCATGAGTGAGACAGAGAGCACCTCCACCAGGATCTTGATGCTATGATCCACTCCCAGCCTCAGCCAGTCCTGGGTCATAGACACATGAATGCCCAGCATGTTCAGGGAGGTCACCTTCCCATGTGGTCAGCCTTGCAGAACTTTGCTTTCTAGAATAATGTTCTGGGAGTAGTGTCACTGTGCCACGGTCTAGTTCCTCTTTTATGTGACTTCTACGGGGAATATTATGAGAAGCACCAATTTTCCAAGTGCCCCGGTCTGCCCACTCAGACCCACCCTTGACACGGTGGCCATATTCATTTCCATGGAGCCCAACCTCAACAATGTACCTCACTTTCAGAATGATATGAAGGCTACTGAGAGCCACGCACTGGCCACAAGGCCAGGGCCCAATGCCAGGGTCCTTCCCACAGTGTGGTCTGTGAGTTGACATGTGTGGAGAAACACAGCCTTGGAGAACATCAAGAAGGCTATGCACCTCTTGCTCCTGTCCTGGGCTGGTGGTTCTCAAACTCCACAGTAAATACATAACACCTGCTAAGTTTGTGGAAAATGAAGTTTCCAGGGGCTCCTCATCATAACCCCACCAAAATTTTCAACCAGAGGTTTGCAGCCCGACTCAGCAGTCTGCATTTTTGGAAGCATGTCGATTGTGGATAAACATTTTACACAGACTACTTAGAAAAACCACGCCCTGGTGATCTCAGCTAACCACAGATTTTACCCAATTGGCCCAAAAGGTGAAATGCCCACATGTGGCCAGGAACTAGCAGTAAAAAGCTATGTTTCAGCCTAAAACTTCAAATTAAACATATCACTTGGAAAAATTCTTTAAGAGTAAGGGATCATTAAAACATGGAAAATGGTTGACAGGAAGACCATCTGGGCAAACCAAACCAGCTTTGAGAAACCAAAATAAGTTACTCATTCCCGAGAACATTCTCCCAGAAAGGCAAACTGCATGAGGAAGATAAAATGTTATCCGAAAGAAAAACGAAAGTCTTGAAATTCTGGGGGAAAAAAAAGTTATTTATAATCTATAACCCAGGCAGCCCATTGGATAGACAAAAACAGAAAATTCCTCTCTAAAGTGTGACAAGATAGAAATTGTCTTGTTGAATATGCACACGGCCTATGAAAATGGCCAGGGGTTAAACACACACATTACTTAGGAGCTCCCCCCCACACACACACACACACAGTGGACTGAACTTCATCAATGGCATTATTATCTGCTCTGTGGACAATGTTTCAGCAGCAATTCCAGCCAGCTAGGGGATCTGTCCCTTCACTCAGCTGGATGACTCTAGAGGCAGTCACTCCTTTTCTTGATCCCCAGTTGGGCCCAGTGCCTGGGTGGAGGTGAGTTGCACCGGTGAGACCCTGTTGGGTGGTGCTGTCTCTCATAAAATAAACGAGCTTTTAAAAAAATTCTAAACCAGGGCCATTTGAAAAGTGGTGTGGTGGTTAAGGCGCTGGATGCTCCCACATGGCTGACCACGGTTCAAATCCTGGACCTGGTGGCTTGCTTTCTCACCTTCTCTCTCTCTGTCTGTATGTGTCTCTCTGGTAAAATTAAAAATGAATGAATGAATTAATAAAGTTACATAAATTTTTTTTTTAAATAAAAAGGACCCACGGAACACATTAAATTAAATAACTAAAAATAAAAGCAGCTCTTATGGGTTAATCCGCTAATTAGGAATTGCTAGTGACATATATTAGAACCACAGGATTCTATCACATAGCCCAACCTTGAGCATCCTGCCTGCCCCTGGGCAAGCCTTTAGCATATCTTTGCTGAATGAACGGGTGATGTGACCATGTGAATGGATATGTGAATGAATGAAGAGGTAAGCCAGAATCAAAGCCGGAAGGAATCGACAGCTGCAGGCTGTATATGCACTGAGTAAGGTGAGGCTTGAGGGCAGACCCAGAGCAGATCGGGAATGAAGGTGATCTTACCTGGGAGCTACACTATAGGCTAATGAATGGGGGAGGGGGCTACGACAGGACAGTCCCACCAGAGGTGAGGGAGGGTATCCTGTGAGCAGGAGATGTAGGAAGCTCACACAGCACTCCAGACCACAGTCGGGGAAGTAACGAAGAAAATAGGTCCAGATGACCTAGACGGCCATTAGAACAGAAGCTAAAGGCAGGGCTGGACCACTGGCCTGTGAGTAGGCCTGAGAGCAAGGCCAGAGTAGAGCCCTTCCTGAACTGGCTCAAGGACAAACCCTCTGAACTAATGGACTTAAAATTCTTCCCAGCTGGGGTCGGAAGGTAGCGTGGTGGTTAAGGCGCTGGACTCCCACATAGCTGACCACGGTTGGAATTCTGGACCCAGTGGCTTGAAAATCACTCCAGGCATGTATGCTTATGTGCCTAAAATCCTGAGAGGAGACTGGAAGAGAAGGATTTGCAGTGAGGCCATCAACCCTGGGGGGTGATTTTTCCACTTTCCTGCTTGTTCTCTCTGGTGAGTGCACACCACCTGTGGGGGTAGGGAAAAAAATTCTTCCCAACTGAGGTTAGGGTCTACCTGGAACTGGCAGCAGGTGCTACAGATGAGCCTACGTTACAGGTGCTCAAACAAAGGTCTCTGGAAAGCTATAAAACATGAAGTCAAACGAGCCTTTGCACTCAGCAGGGAAGCTAAGCCTAACAGTTACAGATTATTTCAGGCTTTGCTTTACACGTGTAGTCAACTGTCCTGGGCTTTGAATCCACCAATTGATAACCTACGGACCAGTAATGATTTGGTGAGGTCTATAATGTGCCCATTACTGTGCTTCTTTAGGGATCGGAGGCATGGAACAGTCACCGAACAGAAGAGTGAATACTAAATAAGCATAATGTGTCACTATATGCTGAGAGGAGTGTGATGGTGTAAAAACTCTACAGTCAGCAAGGCCTGCAATGAGCATGGAGACAGTGGTCACAGAGGGCTTCCTGGAGGAGGTGCAGGATTCCGTGGGAGTGGAAGGACTGCATAGAGATGAAAGAAAACATTTATCACCAATTCCTTTGCAATTCCTGACTTCTCTGACCTGCCCTAAAAACTAAGCAAAACAATTTACTAAACTGCAAGACGGCCCAAGGAAGGAAGCAACCATAACCTCGCCGTGTGTCATTACTGAATTCCATCTTACTAGTGAAGCCCCTGAGATACAAAAGAGCTTGGTGAGTTGTCCAAGGTCACAGAGGTCATTGGTGGACTGGTGGGACATGCACGGGCATGTCCAAGTCCAATATGGCCCCACAGCCCCACCATCTTTCATAATTCAGAAGAGCTGTCCTCCTTTCTGCTGCCGTTGGGAGAGCTGGGCTTGGCTGTGCACAGGGGTTCAATTTCTTTAGTTTGGATTTTTCCTTTGTTTGGTTTTGAAGGGGTTAGTGAAGGAGACAATGGGTGAGGAAACAACTTCTTCTCCAGTGGTGGGACCAGTTCAGACCCTCCCTGGGTCATGCCATTTGGCAGCACTGCCATGGCCCTCACCCAGTCACAGGCATTGTGTCCTATTGCTTTGCTGTTGTTGCTGTAAGAAAACCCAGGTGCATTATCTTAGATTTCCTTGGTCAGAAGTCTGGCTTGGTGTCAGTGGGGCTGCATCCCTCTTGAGAGGCTCTAAGGGAACAATTCATTTTCTTGCCTTTTCCAGCTCTTAGGGACCCTCCCATCTTTAAAACCCATAGTGACCAGTTGAGTCTTTCTCACACAGAATCATTCTGACCTTCTCATTTGCCTCCACCTTTCATTTTTAAGCAGCCTGGTGATTCTGGTGGACCTGTCTCCCTAATCCAAGAGAGAATTTTCTTCTCAGGGTCAGTCCATTAACAACCTTAATCCGATCCACAACCTTAATCTAACATAGTATATTTACAAGTTTGGGGGAGTGGACCTCTTTGGTGGGGGCCACAATTCTGCCTACAACACTTTCCAAAGTCAGAGGATAGAGAATATTTTATCTAATGATGATGATTTTCAGCAATTCGAGCAATGGTATGCAGCTCCATTTACACTCTTGTTCTAAACCCTGCGAACACTAGGGGGGCTCTGGTGGCAGCAGCATCTCTAAGTGGTCTAGGAGAGCATCGAGTGCTCATCTTTGGGCAGCAGCTTCCTCTCTGGATATAGTTTCCAAGGTGCCCCAAGTCCCTGGGCCGCCAGAGGAACAGGTCTCCTTTTGTGTCTTATCTCTGCTTCAAGCCAGTTCTCAGGATTCCAACTCAGTGCTCCTTCCAATGGCATACCTCTCAGACAAGGGAGATTTCCGGTTCCTTTTGCCTTTTACATACAAAAGGTAGGAAGAAGGAAGGAAGGAAACATCCTACTCATCCCAGGCCCAGTGGTACAGACACATCAAAGGATGCCAAGCCCCTCAGGAAGCTAGACCGCAGCTTACATCACCCTGCAGCATATCACTAAGCAACTGTGGGATCAACATCTGTTTCCATGGAGATGTCACATCATCGCCATTCCGCAAGGCAGAGCAGAGAAGCGCACCAGGAGGAATAAATATGCCAGAGGATAGCAGAACCTGTGGTGTGAGTGAAAACCGACCTAAGAGGAAGGTGACGAGAGAGACACTAGGATGAGGAATAAAGGGAGGTGGGCACCGGGTTCCAGTGGGGAGTCACTGGCCAGAATCAGGCTGAGGTGGGCATTACATGGCCCAACTCTCACATTACACAAGAGTAGCCAAGAGTCTCAGAGTCCTGCCCAGTCTTGTACAACAGTTCACACACCATGCTGGGGCCAGAACCCAAGCCCAGTGCTTCCTGGCCCAGGCTCATGCCACTAAGAAAGAAGGAGCAATGATACCGTTCCTTCTGTTGGGTCCAGGTTCTTTCTGTTGACTCTGTTAGCTCCACCCATTGCTCTGGCCTGTCTAGCACATTCCTTCAAGAGAAGGTGACTCACATCACCTAAACAAACCTTGTTGCTGTACGGTGTGGTCTCTGGTGTGAAGATGGCTGAGGGTAAGGGAAGGAGACTGGCTGTACTGAGCATTTGCTAGGTAACTGGCACTGGACTGCCTGTTTATTACAATTAATCCTCAAATTCCTCCTGTCAGGTGTGAAAGCCTCATTTTACAGGCAGAGCACTGAGGGATTGAGAGGTAAGGGGCTTATTGAACATGACGACTAGGAAAGCAAACAGTTAGAAATCGCTTTTCATGTGCCCGATGTATTTTAAAATGATAAAGGCTTTTAGTCTTTATTGTTAGACTTACCAGTTCTTTCTTTTATGGCTCATATTTTTGGTGTCATATTTTTAAAAGTCCTTGCCTAACTCAAATTTACGCATATATTTCTTACACATTTTCTCCGAGAGGTTTTATTATTTAGATATTATGTGTATGCCTATGCTCCATTTTGAATTACTTTTTAAATATGATGTGAGGTAGAGATTGAAGTTTATTTGTCTGTGTTCTGCATATCCAATTGTTCCAGTATTATTGAAAAGTAGAGGCCTTATTCTCTGTTTACTTACTTCTGGATAGTGTCTATGATGAAGTCTTGAAACAGTTACTCACAAGCGTCATACCAGAACCTTCCATCAAGTGCTTTCAAGAAAGATAAAGAACAGGGAGAAAACCTCGCATTAGTAGCAATGGGCTTGAAACCTGGGGAATCCACTGCTGTGGAAGATAGGTACTGGGTCCCAGATGCTTCTCTTTGTAAGAAAATGGAAGAGGGACCAGCAGTTAGCGTAATAGCTATGTCGCTGGACTCCCATGTAGTCAACCGCGGTTCGAGTCCCGGACCTGGTGGCTTAAATTCATGCCGGGCATGTGTGCGTGCATGCCCAAGATCCTGAGAGGAGAACGAAGGAGAAGGGACTGTGGCATGGCCATCCCCCTTGGGGGGTGATTTCTCACTTTCTATCTCTCTGTCTCTCTTTGTCTTTCTGGTGAGCGCATGCACCCTATACCAAAAACCTCTCAAAAAAAAAAAAGAAAAGATACTGGCGGAACAGTAAACCAAGGGCCCAAGAAAAATCCACTCTTCCTTGATGAAGGTAGAAGGTTGAAGCCCATGACACTTGACATTGGAGAAGGGTTTTATGGATTAGGTAAAGATTTGTCCCCCAAAGTTTCCTGTTTGGGAATTTTGTTTTAGTGAGCAGTGATTGAATTCACAGAAACTTATGTGTTGAAACTTGACTATATTGATTGCATGGTAAAGATGTTAAGTGAAAACTTAATTCCTTCATGGTGTTAACAAAAAAGCTAGGGGAAAAAAATCCTAATATAAAAAGATAAAACAGTTCACAGAACCAGACCCCAAAATGGCTCAGAAGTTGAAACTATCAGGTGCTTTACAATAATGATGATTGTTCTGTGGGAAAGAATGTAGTGGAGAAGGTGCACAACATACACAAATGGAGGATTTCACAAATGGAGGAAGTCAGCAGAGAGAGATGGAATTATAAAAGAAAATTAAATAGAAATGCTAAAATTAAAAAAATAAAGAATTTATTTGCTGACTTATAAGCAGATTGTAAACAACAGAGGAAAGAAATCGCAAATGTAAAGATAAACCAGTCAAGGTCAGTAAGTGGTGAGTGGTTAAGACATTGGCCTCCCATATGGTCGATCACAGTTCTAGTCGTGGAGCCAACAGCTTCAAACTTGCGTCCGGTGTGTGTGCATGCATGCCCAAACTCCAGAGAGGAAAATGGAGGAGAAGGGAATGCAGCGTGGCCATAACTCTTGGGGAGGGGGGGTGATTTCTTGCTCTCTGTCTCTCTGGTGATCACATGCACCCTACAGCAAAAAATATCTCAAAAAAAAAAAAAGATAAGCCAATCTATAAGACTTATCCACACTGAAATACAAATAGGCAAAATAATACAAATCAAAATAAATGAAAAGAACATCCAAAAACTATGGATAACATCCATGTCAATGATTTAACACTGGAATTTCAGAAGGGAAACCAATAGATAATGTGACAGAAGAAGTATTGGAATACATGACTTCCAAGAATTTTCCAGAATTAATTAAAAAACAGCAAACCATAATTCTGTGAAACTTAGAGAATCCCAACAAGGATAAATAAAAACATAAGTCAAGTTCATCACAATCAAACTGTTGAAACTAAAACATGAAGAGAAAATCTTGAAGGCAGTTTTAGGGAATAAGAGGGCATCATACAGAAAGGAAAATGAGATTAGAATCACAAACTCTTCAAACCAAAAGCTGGAAAAAAAAAATCTTTACTGGGGATGGGGTGGGGGTGGGCAGAGAGGGAAACTAAAAACTGCCACAAACTTCATTCTCGCTAAAAATATCTTTGAAAACATTGGCTAAATACTTTCTCAGGCAAACAAACCTGAGAGAATTCATTACCAACCAGTTGGCACTATAAAAAATCTATTAAAGAAAGTTTTGAAGACATAAAGAGTATAATATCAGATAGAAACTTAGATCTCCACCAATAAATGAAGATTTCTAGAAATAGTAAAAATAGAGATAAATACAAAAGACATTTTAATCCTATTCTTTCTCTACAACAAATAAAATTGATGACAATAACAGTACAGAGGATGAGGGAGAAAGTGGGATTCTACTGTGATGAGCTTCTTACACCGTATGTATGGGTCGTAATGTTATTTGATAGCTGTTTATTGTAAACTCTAGAGCAGAACTGCAAAAAGAAAAGTGGGTATTTGAGTAAAAAATTAAAATGTGAGTAATAGCTTCCCTGAGAATGTATAGGTGATACAATTCTTTTTAGACAAAGAAGGGATAAAAAAAGATTGAAAATAAAGTAAGTTTGCTTTGTCTGTAACATAGTAACGAAAACGCTGACATGTTAGGCAATAGAAGTATATATATATTTAATATGGTGAGGATAAATACAAAAAGATACTTTTATTAACCAAGATACCAGGGAAAAGGAGGAAAAGACAAAGGGAAAGGAAGCATGCCAATTTCATTCTTGTTCATAGAAGGGAAGCAATATATGCAGTTAAAGATAGCTAATGGTATTGCAAAATATTTGCATCATAAAGGTGAAAACAAGAAAAATAACATTGAGAATTCACCTTTTTAAGATGAGAAGCACCATGGGGGAGGGAGGGACCGGGGAAGGTCAAAAAGAGTAGGACCAGAAAAAGCTACAGTGTGAAAGATGAAAAGATAAATCAAAATAAAAAGCAAAACAAGAAGCATGACATAAAATTATATGACAAAACTCAGAACAAACATATTTTTCATGTCCATAAATGTAAATTGGCTATATTTATCTCTGAAAAAGATTTCACGCTGATGAAGAGAGCAAAACTCAACTCTGCTGTATACACAAAGCACGCCTAAAACAAAGTGATTCAGAAAGGCCAAAATAAGAGAAGGAGCAAATGCCAAAAAGAAATCAAGACTCTTAAACTAATATAAAAGAAGGAGAAATTCAGGTCAAAGAAATCATTAAACGAGTCAAAGACACTTTATAATGCCAAAAGCTATAATTCACAGCTCACTTGTAAGAATTAGCCATATTTATATGCCAGTCAACATAGTAGTAAAATTCATACAGCAAAAATTACCGGAAAAATCAGGAAGAATGACGAACACACATAGCAGAAGATTTTAATTTATCTCTCAGCTCAGGAGAGATCAACAAAATAAACAAAAACAAGTAGATCATATTATAATCAGTCTTATAAAGACAATAGGGTTAGAGCCAGCAAGTGGCGCAGTGGTTAAGGGTCTGGAGTCCCACATGGCCAACTGCAGCTTGAAAATCTCGCCAAGTGCATGTGTGTGCATGCCCAACATCCTGAGAAGAGAATGGAAGAGAAGGGATTGAGACATGGCCATCCGCCCTTGGGGATGATTTCTCACTGTCTCTCTCTGTCTCTCTCTGGTAGGTGCATATGCCCTATGGCAAAAACTAAGAGGTAATAGTGTAAGCTTTGTACCCTCATAAGAGACAATGCACCCTTTTCCCAGTGTCCCACAAGTAAGTAAGAACACTCATGAGAAACTTAAGCCACAAAGAGAGCATCAATAACCTCTGAGCACACTAATAAAACTCGAAATTAGCAATATCATAAAATACCCCTTTTATCTTAAAATTAATAAACTCTCTTATTAACTACTCTTAGTTTAAGGGGAAAACTAAAGACAAACAGACTTTCTAAAATAATTTTTTTAAGATAAAGTAAACATACTAAATCTAACGGGCATGAAAATAAAGCAGTATGGGGGACCAGCAGTTAGCGTAATGGCTATGTTGCTGGACTCCCATGTAGTCAACCACAGTTCAAGTCCTATACCCAGTGGCATAAACTCACGCCAGGTGCATGTGCATGCGTGCCCAAGATTCTGAGAGGAGAATGGAGGAGAAGGGATTGGGGCATGGCCATCTCCCCTGGGGGGTGATTTCTCGC